ACCACCCTTCCGCTGATAGGCTTCCAATCGATTATTCTATTGGCAAGGTTGGGTTCTACCAGAACGCCAACACCGGCCTGAGCGCGAGTCGTGATATCGACGCCTGAGTAGGGTAGGTTCCACCCCCAGAAGTTCACGATTACAGAGCCTTGGCGTTTTGTCGACGACATTTCGACATTGTCGACTTGGTACTTTATGGCCTCATCAACTAATTCTTGTTCTTTTCCTCTGAGTGAGGATATGTTCCAATTTCGGACTTCAGGCTCCCACTGACGGTGTCGTTCTCGTGGGCCCTTTTTTGACGTCCTATAATGGCGTCGCGCTATCTGCCTGGTATCTTCCTCGTCGTTCCGTTGGTCAAAGTCAGCCACTGATATGCTGCTACATCCCAGGCTGGCAGATTCTGATCTCGGAATTTTCGCAGTCTGCGTCAGTCCGCCAACAGCCTGAGCGGCCCTTGGTAACCCGGGCGACGACTGAGCCAGTAGAAATTTCGATGACGTCAATATCATGAGTGGCATGTAGCTAACTCTGACGGAGACTAACTTTTACTCTAGGTCAACAGGCCCCTGCGTTTTTCTGTGCATGTCAGACAGAAACAGGGTATCATAAGGACAGCAGACAAGATCACAACTGATCAACATCCAACTAATGACTGCATCCGACATTCGGTGACGAGCGTAATCCTAAAATCGTCTCCATCATTTGACTACGGCTGTCAAAACGCCTACGTCTGCAGCAAATGGAAATGGCACAAATGCATACGTACGTTTGTGTCATTCTTATTCAAGAAACGACCAGCAATGTGTCAAAATTAGCTAGCAACTAACTTGGAAACTTTTTTATAAAAAGTTCAAAATACAATCATATTACGCAATCCTTTAAAACTGCAGGCATGGACCATAATAGTATTACTATGACAGTAACCAAATGCGTTATAATTATGGTACAAGCACATCACTACCTTCTGCCTTAATTTCATGACCCTGCATAATGGAAGTGTACCATATCATAATCACAACATATAAAAATACGTATTTCTAAAGCTATAAACTGCCTAAAGGATTCTGCTCACTTTCTTTAAAATTATTAAGAATTTGTGCCTAGTTTCGACGACGGTGTACCTCGAAGTCCTGTTCCTGTGGTAACATATTTTTATATTTGAAAGAATACCGGAAAAATGAAAACGGATTTTGACGACCGTGTACGACGTTAGTTTGTGAATTCAAATATCCCGATTTCATGTGGTAGCCAATTCGGTATTCTAAAGTAGCCACAAGGTGTGTTTAAACGAGGTGTTCCCAAGTACAATGATCGAGCATAGATTCAGCACAAAACAACATCGCGCATCGCCGGAATGGGATAACTCGTGGGGCGAGTCAATTCTGGCTAGCAGTATTCATTCTAGGCGATACGGTCGAAAAATAGCGATAAATTTTGGGACCTTCATGACATCCAACGATCCGTTTTAGAATAGCATTTTAAGTGTTAACTTCTGTAAAAAATACCACTATTAACTTCATGGCAATTTTCAATTTTTCGCTCTTTGAAGCGTGTGCTAGTATTCAAACATTTAAATCCTGTCCTATCACACTGTCAATAGTATAAATTAATGCTTCGTAGTGCCGTGATCGAAACGCTTGGCAGTTGGTGTCAGTCATTTGCTTCGAGTCAGGACATTCATTGTTGCAGCTGTAACTTTAAGGGCATAGCAATAATGACAAATGGCTAAATGGTGTCGGGCAAATGCTTTCCTTTAGTGACGTTTCAGCTGAAAGATTAACTCGGCCGCGCAGCTACGTCAACACTATACCGTCGGTCTAAAGTATTAAAGATCGCAATCTATAATGCAGCAAAGTTTAATTTAAAGGACAAACTGACCGAAAATCTGTCTAAAAGGACACGCTATAAATACACAGACGTGAACACGGATTTTTGTCTAACCGGCCCCTGAGCTGCGATAGGATTCAAACGTATAAGTGCAATAAATTTAATGCCAGCAAGGGTGTTATAAGCGACTGTGCTACTAAATTCTTTCAAGAAATGACCAAGTTGATAGTGACTGATGAAAGAACAAAAATGGTCATGAATTCGAATAGATTCCCCGAAAATCAATATAAATGCGATTCAAACTTAGTACAGCTAATCCAGAAGGTCTCCTTTCATCCAGTCAATGCAGATCTCTATCCGCTCCATTGGCGCAGGTTGTTAGCGGAATATTTCTGTTACACCACAATGCCACAATTTTGTATGAAGGGTAACAGTCACATCCACCATGTCACATAATAGCGATTACATTGAAAAAATTAACGAAGACAAACCGATTGAGTGAAGTATGTTACTAATGAATAATGAAAAATTAACACACATATTATAAAAGTCGAACATTAAAATGACAACTATCTGTGGGTATGAAAATTAATCTCGTTGTGCGAAACGGATTCCATCCATCCGCTCCGCCATCGGTGCCATCACTCTGTTGAAGAAGTGCTTCGTGTAAACGGAGTTTGATGCTGGTAAAATTTTAAATCTGATTAATTGACTGACATGCAACGCAGAATGTAGCAAAAATAATTTGGTTTACATAAAACGATATTAATAAAAGGATGAATTCAAAGAACTGTGGTCTGTGCACGCCTGCTGAAATAAGCATGAAAATTTGTGTCTAAGTCAAAATTAGTCAGCTGACGAGGGAGCGACTTATAACGCTTCGATGCAGCGTGTTCCTTTCCGGCGCTTTGTCTTTGTTATACGGTTTTTCGTCGAGCCTGTAGGCTGAACCTGAATACTTCGCATATACATTCGTGCATGTGAATAATGAATACGGCGCTTTCAAATGTTATAACTAGTTTACGCGCTAACTGACTGTTTTAGAGTTAAACACAAAGGTTCATGCCTATTTTGGAGGCGCAGGAGTGAGCATTGCACCATTTTTCGCAATCCATGGGTTTTTGCGGTCGAATTGTTGCCTTGTTTGGCAACAAAATCTTAACATTTTATATACCAAGAGAGTTATTTTGTAACTAGCCCAATTTTTCAAACATGATTGAAAGACACTATGTTGGAATTAGATAACT